AATTGCAACTATCTCGACGTCTATTCAAGGTAACTGGGTTGGGGATTTTGTTCATTTGAAGCAAGATAAATAAACGAGTTAATATGCCCACAAATTGACGAGCACCTGATTCTATTGCGTAGTGACACAATTAATGAATAATTGTATAATAGATGTTTATTCAGGCTTGTCTTGTATATTTATGTATCTATCTGTCTTTATCATCATCTTTACCTTTTTTCACCCTGGATCATGGTAAAGGCCACAAACACTTTCCACCTTTCCCTGTCCTGAGCTAGCCTCTTGATGTTATTCCATGTCTTACCTTTTTTCTATACATCAATTTCTGCGACTCTGCTCCAGGTTCCACATGGTCACCCCCTTGATCTTTTACCCTGTGGGTTCCAATCCAACACTTTCCTTGTTATGCAGTTACTTGACTTCCTGAGAGTATGTCCAATCCATCGCCACCGCCTTCTTCCCACCTCATCTCTGACTGGGCTCTATCTTGTTCTCCTTTACGTTTCCTCATTGGTGACCCTGTCTGTCCATCTGATCCTCAGTGACTTCCTTAGACACTTGCTCAAGAAAATCTGGATCCTCTTTATGCAAGTCTGAGATGTGTTCCATTGCTAACATCCATACAACAATACCGACTTCATATTTGAGTTGAAATCCTCAGCCTTGTTCAAAATGAGATATCTCTGATCCTCCTCTGCATGATATATATATATATATATGAGAGTGGGATAGTACTTACGATCAGGTGCTTGTTTGCTGTCTCTGAAATCATGTCACAATATTCATTGGACTTACTATCAAAATGTTATTAGACATAATTCTGCATAACAGTTCCTCTCTGTCGTTCTTGTTAATTTTTCTTGGATATGATGTAATCATTTTAGTTTAATCGTGCAATCTGTTCCATGGTGTTGTGTAATATGAGTGTTGGTTTTTTTTCAAACTAATTTTGATATATCATCCTTGCCAAAGAAAAAAGTATCTTTAGAGGGTTCTTTTTACTCGTTGTGTAAAGCAAAATCAAATGGGCTTCTTTTTTTTTTTTTTTGCAACAGCACCCATATTAGTTTTTTCAATTGGCAGCGTTTGGCACACATTTTGACAATTTTCCTGTTATTGAAGTGGCAAGCCCTGATCTAATGCAGCACAATGAAGGGTCCCCTTGCTGATCCAATCGAGCTGTTCTCTAGTTTGGTTAAAATTAGAATCATTCTCACCACAATCTTACAAAAGATCATACTGAGCTAAGGGCATTCACAAATTTTATATCTTTCTGCAGAGCTATAACCAGAGCCTGTACTCTAAGAAGAGTATCCACAAAGCTATATTGAACGGAGCCAGGTCTCTGCACTTCTACCCAGACAATCACCGGTTAGTTCCGGCGGCCTTTTTGCCAAAATGCCACAAGATGTTCATCACAGTGACTCCAAGTTCTTCTGGGAGTGGTCAGAAAGTCAAGGCTGGGCAAAGTAAATCTGCCTCGAAGCAAGGACAAAACCACCGTAAAATCTCTGATGTGTTCAAGAAGAGAGGTACGCTCAAAAAAATTGTTTTGTTGTCATGTTAGTCTCAAGTTATCTGGCAGAATTTTTTTCCCTTCAGAGTACATAATCATGTTTGTGTTCGTCTTATCAGCTGACAGGCTTGCTTCTTGTCTACATTTGCAGTAACACGCTTTATTCATCTAACCAAGGGAAATGGGCGCTGTTAATGTACTTCAGCGAAAATGATGTTATTTGAATTACATCCTGCATATTGGATGTCCGCCTAAGTTGTTGTCTAAATACTAGGTGAAGAATATTGTTTTCATGCACCATCAAGGCTATCAACTGGGTTATTGTGTTAATTAAGTTCCTTTTTGGAACGTCGGTGGCCTAGTGGTTAGGCTCTCGGACTCGCAACCATAAGGTCGAGGGTTCAAATCCTGTCAGGGACCCGAGGTTGTGTCTTTGGGAAAGGCACTTTACACGAGTTTTCCTCACTTCACCCAGGTGGGAATGGGTACCCAGCTATAGACAGTGAAAGATCTCGTCAGTTTGTTAGTGTTTGAGCGCTTAGTCAGCTGCTTGCACTGTATGCTTCCCGGGAAGCTGAGAATGTTTCTGAGTGTTCTATGGTCTGCTAGGGTAATAATATAGTGTAAAGCGCATAGAGCTTGCTGTGCAGCAGGGTTATGCGCTATACAAATGCTATTTATTATTATTATTATTATTAAATATTTGTGTTCATCAACATGATAAAGTGTTATAACAAATAATAGATTTCTGTTGGGCTCACTTCCCAACAAGGCTTTAGGAGCTTTACTTCAGTTATGAAATCAGTCATTCAAGGGACATTTGAGCTAATAAGATTATTCAAATTCATCCATACACCCATGTTAACACACACATACACCACACACTTGCACACACACTTGCACACACAGACACACACACACACACACACACACACACACACTTGCACACACACACATATACACATGCACACACACACTCACACACATATACACTCATATACACATTCACACACATAGACTCAGGTACACATGTATGCTCGCAAACACTTAAGTATACCTTAAATAATTGCTCTGTAATTCTCAGGGAGACCTCCAGCCTCCGATGACGGCCCCACGGTAGAAGAATGGGAGGACATTCGTGAAGAGTTCTTGGCTGGTATGGAAACTGCAAAGTGTCTGCCCCGCTCAAAATGCGTGTCTCTTGGGAAAGGGTCACAGGTAATTCCTGGTTTTAACTTCTAATATTTGGGGGGG